TTATTTGTCAAGCCTGGTCCAATGCATAACTAGATTAGTAAATCTGCCAGAATACAAACATTTCTTGTCAGCAAATCTAAAGCCCCTTCAAACTCCAAAGAACTGCAAAATTCAATTATTAATGGAAAACTCGAGATCAAACCTAATTCACAAAATTAACTTCTGTACAAAATGAAAACAAGAATTCGTCTTTTTTCGTATATGAAGCAACTTAGGAACTTTGTCCGTATCTGGTTTATTTTCGACAACCACAATCCCACAGAGGAAAAATTAGGCCATTGTTTTAAATAGATAGTGTGGTGTACTAATTTTATCTTCTTTACTTTCTAATAGATGATGGCAAGTTTTGTAAAATAATTGTAGTGTGTTTATCAAAATTATTTTTAGTTGGTGTATACTTATAATGTGGTGGATGAAATAAAAATTAGGGTAGTGATATATATACCCCTAAATAGGAAAGAGATATTAGAAAATGATTGCACTGCAAGCATGCATGGAGCATAAAAAACGAGGCAACAAACAATGTTTTGGAGGTGAGAAAACACAATCTCCTAGGGATCGACCCCTTATGCTCAGGGTTTGTCTGCTCCAGATTTTAGCCAGATTTTAATTGGTTTTAATATCGTTATTTGACAGCATGTGGGTCCATTTGTGAGAGAAAAAGTCAACAATGTCTGCTGCCTGAGATTGCAACGGTCTAATTTGCAATTAAAATCTGCCAAAAAATCTCAACCAGACATGCTCTCAATGTAATTTGGTAGGGACTGAACATCTTGCTTCTTATGGTCAATCCACTGTCCCTTTGAACTCTTAGAATCCTATCTTTTCAGTCTCGATTGACCCTCAAGTCATGACATAGGAGTACTTGAGTTATGTTGGTTTTAACATCATTACAATTATACGATGTAAGAATAGTACATTAAACTACAATGCAAAACATGTACGTCTATGCCTACGCGATTCACTTATTACTACATGACATCGATTGCTTGATACTTCATGTTACTTAATACAAAATATCTATGACTAGATATTTTACGTTATTAGATACAGTATGGTATATCAATTGCAGGGACAGATTCATGATTGGATTACAGGCTAGGCCAATATGTAAATTTTTTTTTTATTTGTTTTTTTTTTTTTTTTGGGCAAAAATTAAACTAAAAATAAACAATTGAAATTGAAACGAAAAAATAAAAAATTTAAAATCCAAAATGCTAATACAGTCCAAAACCCCCATGATAATCAAAGTTTCAAACAAAATCAGTATCTTTGAGCGTGTGTGATAGAGAAAAAGAAAAAGAGAAAGAGAGATTTACTTCGAGCTTTTGTTGTTCAAGCTGAGCGGCCATGATTTCTTCTTGTGATTGAGCGGTCATGATTGATTATCGGCGAGAGATGGGAGAGAGTTTGAGCGGAGAAGACGACGAAAGGCTTAAAACCCTAGAGAGTTAAAGAGCGTCAAGAAAGAATGCAATATGACTTTATAGGTGCAAAGCTGTAAGCAAATGGGGAATGAATTCTTTAGCCCATGTTTGACACCAATTTTTTTCTCATTCTATTTCTCTTTTTTCATTTTAATTACACATTCTATTAATAAAATAATATTACACATAAATCAAAAAATTCTCCTTACTTTTTAACCACACAATCTTCCATCAATCACTATTTAAAAAATTATTTTTCAAACAAAATGGGTGTCAAACAGGGGCTTAATTTTGTCGGTCAAATCATCTCTTCCTTTCTTTTCTTTTCATTTTTTGCATTTCTTTTATTTTCTGTTTTCCATTATTCAAATATGTTGGTTTTTTAATTATTTATTTAATTTAATTTCGAATAATTTTATAAATTATTCTTTTACAAATTATATTATTACAAAAATTGTTAAATTAAAAAATTATATGTAATGAACTAAAATATTACATTTATTAATAAATTGAAAGAAAAACATTGAACATAATACAACAACTAAAAAAATTATATTGAACACAAGAAAAAAAATTAAATATATGAAAAATGAAAATGACAATTCGTTTTGTTACTTATTTATCGGAATTAGTATATACATCCCATATATAATCAATTAATGCACCTCGAAGTGCAAAGTGCGCATCTACATTCATGATTTGTCTATATTGAGCAAATAATTCTTGAAATCGTATTTTCATCTACAACCATCTCGACTTCTGGGGTTGACTTTTCCGTCAAATCTTCAATTCATGCATTAACATCTCAAGATAAGAACTTAAAAATAAATTGTTAATTGATATCTCCAATGAGGGGTCAAATTTTGTGTAAACCCTTTCCAACCAGACACCAAATATAAGTGCAAAATTTGGAATTTGGTGTAACACTATTCAATTACTCCAAATTTGAAAATTTTCAATAACCCTATGTTGCCCTTCTTTCCACTTTACAAAAATATTTATTCCATCTATGTCATTCTTTAATATTTTAGTATTAATAGATTTTAATTAATTTCTAATTATTTTAATGTAATGGTTATTTTTACTTAACATTTATTTTTTAAATTCTAATCAATTAGTAAGTAATAATTATTTCAACAATAAATTAAAATCATTCATTAAAAAGTCAAAAGTTACAAATTGGATAATGAATAAATTAGCACTAGAACAACAAATTAAAGTGCCATACAACATATAACTAAATCAACAACTCAGTACTCCGATAAATAAGTGACAAAACGAGTTGCCATTCACGCTATATGTGTGTTTTTTCTTGCACGTTCAATGTAATTTTTATAATTTATGGTATTATATTTAATTTTTTTTCAATTTATTAATAAATACAATATTTTAGTTCATTAAATTTAATTTTTAATTTAATGATTTTTGTAATAATATAATTTGTAATTGAATAATTTAAAATAAAATTTAGTATAAAAACATCTCAAATTGTCTACACCAAATTTGGTGTAACCATCCGGGGCACATCTTGTTGGTGAAACAATTGTATTTGTGGGCTCGCAACCCTAGCGTGGAGAGCTCGATTCTGGAAGGCACGAGTCTTGGAAGGAGGATTTTCTCGAAGGCAAAGCAATGATTGGAAGGCAGTGAAAAGAGCTCTCTTAAGGTTAGGAGTATAAGTGGTGCAGAAACTTGGGAGCCAACAATGGCATAACCCGCGGTTTACCTCCTCGAGTCTCTGAGGGGTCGGTGGCTACAGATCCTAGATTTAGTCTAACTAAGTTGGGATACCTGGATATCAAAAAAATAAAAATAAAATTTGGTGTAACCATTGAAGAGGTTACACGGAATTTAGTGTGCACTATTGGAGATGGTGTAATGTTGGCTCTTTTAATGTTGTTGGTTGCAATCTAGTGATGATTTTATTGTCGAACATTATCCATTGGGAAGATTTGCTTAAGACATTCTTTTAGAATCAATGCTTAAGCCCATGTTTGAGTCACATTATTTTTTTCATTCTCATTTTTTTACTTATTTTCAATCATACGTTTTTCAATAAAATAATATTTTCAATTACATCAATAACTTTTTCTTCTTTTTCAATTACATATTCCCCATCACATCAACAAAAAAAATGCCTTCTTGGAGCCACAAATGTGTACCAAACAGGGCCAAATGTCGATAAGCTAAAAAATCATGCTCAAGATTAACTTTACTGATTGCACAACATATGGCAATTCGAACGTTTCAAACCACTTGCATTTTAATAGGAACAATGGATCTAGCTGTGAGATCAAAAGGTGCAGTACCAACGATGATAGTATAACTGTGTTTGAATGAAATCAAATTGCATCGAGTTTATATTTATATTATTATAATTGATACCAGAAATAGATTGCAATGAAAATTACAAGATACTATCAAGCATTTCAGAGGCTAAACTCTCTCCCTCTAAAAACTCTCAATATCTGAGAACTCACGCTTGATACAAAATCACACTTGTTGACTCCCCTTAATTTCTAGACGTCGTGCTGCTGCAACCTTCCACATGCCTAACATGTATGAACCTTATCACAACTTTTTGTAAAAGATTTTCGTCTGTAATTTAATAAGCTGAAATCTTTGAATCATCAGACGTTAAGCTTTTGTTTACTGGGGATTAAAATCATATTTTTAGTAGATTTTAATAAAATTTATGAAATGTGTGGTTAAATTAATTGTTGACTTTGACTAAAATCTAAATTTTAATTTCCATCAAATATGGGCTAAATACAATCAAAGAATTTGTGAGAGTCGAAAGTATATCATATGTATTCTTTATTTACGAAAATGTTCTCACGTCCACAGTAGAAAGTCTTATCTTGCCCAATTGAAGAAAACTATACTTACGATTCTCACATTTGGAGAAAATCATAAGTGAGGTTCTCGTGCCACATTAGCTAGTGAACAGTCCGATCTTGCCCATTGTGAGTAGGAGAACAATGCCGTCTTTATTTACTGTCCTAACTTGTGAGTAGTTGAAGAACAAATTGTAGAAAATTATTTAATAAAATAATATTACACGCAATCGAAAATTTTTTCATCATTTTTAATCATACATTCTTTATCAATCTACTATTAAAAAATGCATTCTATTTTAAAAATGGAGCTTAAACATATCCTTAAAGAAATATGTGATTGAAAGTTGTTGGCCCCATTAAATATGTGATTAAAATTAATTATTAATTTTGGTTTAAATTAAAATCTATATTTTAATCCATAATGGACTAAATATTTTGATTGTAATTCTTAATTTCTTTATTGGTGAGATAAGAGTATAAAATTGTTTACAAATAACCCAATACTATTATTTCAACAGCGGTCCGTAATTTGTTTACTAGTGAGATAAAAATTATAAGTTTATTTATAAATAACCCAATGCTACTATTTTTAACAAAAAATGACTATTATATTCACTTCATCAGCCTTAAGGGGCTATTTTCAATAATAATTCCTCGCTCAAATAATAAGTTAATAACACAGGTCAAATAGTCAATCAAATCCCTCAACACAGCAAGAGAAGGAAAACAAGAAATGGCATCGGCTATTGTGAGATCTGGCCTCCGCTCCGCCATCCGCGGCGGCGTATCTGCACCACGCGCCTTCCCCGCTTCTAAACGGACCTTCGCTTCCCATGGTCTTCACGATGAAGCTGGTATTAATAAATTGAAATAACATTCCAGTTATGACGGATGCGATTGAAAATTGATTTTCAAGATTTTATTATTTTAAATTATTTAGAATTTTTCGGGTATTCCCTGTCTAGGTTATCATTACATTTCGGATTTACATAGTCTGTACGCAGTTTAAAGGATTGTGTTTTTTATGATTGTATTGGCGATTAAACTACTGGATGCGATAGAAAATTGATTTTCCTGATTTTAGGTATATGTTAATTATTTTTAAAATTTTTTGGTGCTCGTGTTAATGTAGCCGAGGCTTCGAAGTGGGAGAAAATAACATATCTAGGTATAGCAACTTGCACTATTCTTGCAGTCGTTAACCTTTCCAAGGGTCATCCTCAAAAAATAACATATCTAGGTATAGCAACTTGCACTATTCTTGCAGTCGTTAACCTTTCCATGGGTCATCCTCTCCATGAAGAGCCTCCTGTAAGTTTCTTTATACCTTTCTTTATTTTATTAGATTGAAAACCGGGTTTTATATTGTTTATCGTTTTAGTACATGGAATCTAAATTTAATTTAATACTGAATTTATGGGTTTGAATAATTTAGAAATGGGTTGATCATTCTCATTTTGTGTGCAGTCATACCCATACTTGCACATCCGTAACAAGGAGTTCCCCTGGGGTAAGTTTTTTAATTATATTATGCAAATTTCTGTTTTAATTTCTTTTATGATATATTTTCTGTGCTTGTTTTACTTTATATAAGTGTTTCTGTGGGCTGTACAAGCTTTCATTCAGTGCAGAGTATGCTTCTGTGTGTGTATATATTTTCTGATATTGAAAAATGTATATTTTGTTGTGGCAGTTATTCCTGGCTGTAATAATAATCAGAAAAAAATTTCCCTGTCGTTTCTTTATTATTCTTTACTTTGTTATACTGAAATTTCCCTTTCCAATGATTTTCCTCCTTATGAGAAATTTGCATTTGTATTGTTAAAATGGTGAGCCTTGTCAAATATTTTGGACTACGACATTGTGTAATGATGCACACATACAAGTTTGACCTTCTTTGGAACTTTTCAAAGATCAAGCAACATTCAAAAATATTGTTCCTAGTATTTAGAGATGGTCTTGTATGAATTCGATATTGAATTGCCATGTGTAAAACCGAAAAATAGGGTTTATTGCAGATATTCTTTAAAGCCACATTGTGTGATCCAGCTATTAATAATAGTTGGCCGTTTTCTGTCCTCCGTTACATATCAGATATTCTTTGGCAGCCTTCGTATTTTTCCATTTGCTTTTATCTTATGGCAGCTTGGGTTGCAAATGTGCAGTGTGGCCCTTGTTTGAATAATGGAGCCTAACTTGAACTAGTCTGTCTTTGTTTTCATTATTCTTAATTCACCATATCATAGTTATTGGTGGTCATCATGCATACATTGTATAAAGAGGTTTTCTTGGTTGTTGCTTTTTGAAGTATTGTTTGAAAACTAGATTTCTTTGATATGTTACCTCTGCATACATTTTTCCATTTGCTTTTCTCTTATGGCAGCTTTGGGTTGCAAATGTGCAGTGTGGCCATTGTTTGAGTAATGGAGCCTAACTCGAACTACAGTCTGTCGTTATTTTCATTATTCTTAATTCGCCATATCATAGTTATTGGTGGTCATCTTGCATACATTGTATAAAGAGGTTTCTTGGTTGTTGCCTTTTGAAGTAATTGTTTGAAAAGTAGATTTCTTTGATATGTTACTTTACATCTGCTTATTTTTCGTTATGAATGTTACTGTCAGTGAAATGTTAACCTACTATACAAAACCCAACCATAGGGGCAGTCTGATCCTTCAAAATAGATTAGTGTATTGAGCTCATGATGACCTGGCAACATAGGACAACTTTGATGCTTCTGCCTTAAATTTTTCAAATCAGATGATGAACTTGAGAAACAAGAAACACTCTGAGAAAATTACTTTTGTTGGCAAATTACTTATGAATGTTACTTTCAGTCAAACGTCAAAGCTACTACACGAAACACCTACATGTTTCTACCATGAGGAATGCTATTTGTCATCATTTATGACGATCATCATGTTTAAATGTCATTAAAATGATAGGTCCAATAACATGAGTATCATGTCTCTGCATTTACTTGAAACTATCATTCAATGTACCTGTTCCCACATAGTGTGATGATCCTCATCACAAATAGCATTGTTCTTCCACAATAATGGTTTGGAAGGATCAATTTTTAGGCAGTCTCATCCTTTAGAATAGGTTGAGCTCATTTTGACATGGCAACTTGGAACAACTTTAATGCCATCATCTTACATTAATGAATTACATGCAGAACTAGAGAAAGAAGCGCTTGGTTAAAATTCAAGTCAAAGTCAACAAATAATTTAACGATACATGTCTACAACTTTTCAAACACAAATTTCATCAACTTTTATTAAAATTTACTAAAAATCTGATTTTTATCTACGCCAAGGGGCTTTATATGATTTACTTGAAGACTTCCAGCAAGAACTAAGATTTAAGCATCAGTGGAATTAAGTGTAGACTTAAAGTAGGAAACTTGAGAATTAATTGTTTGTGGTTTAAGTGTCTCGCGTGCAGAATATGATTTGAATTATTGTGTTTGTACTTGTATACAAAGTAAAAGTTTTACTAATAGAGTACCAAAATAGAATTAGGCATTCTTTATCTTCTAGGCTTTTTATTTAAATGCTGGAAACGCTCTAGTTTCTTATGTTGCATTTGTTGCTTTATCTTCCTCTTTTATCATGATTGTCATCACTTTCAGGCTTCAGCCGGTAAGTTCTTACTTGAGTGTGTTTTCTGGGACACAGAGAGAATCACTTTACATGAATCTTTTATTTTATTGGGGGTAAAGGAATCTGCATATAACTCTCCAGGACTTGCTGTCAACACGTGTAACATATTTTTACGTGTTCATATTACATGTTGATTTGTATACTGCACAGAATTATTTTATCTGGGTGCTGCTTTGGACAAAAAATGCAATATGTAATCTCTCAGATGCCTTCTGTTTTCTATTAAGCAAATTTTGTGAATGCAGGTCCAGATGGTCTTTTCGAGGTGAAGGAACATCACTGATCCTAGTGAGTTGGCGGAGTTGAAGATTCAGATGAATAATAGTGATTTAGTTCATTTTGGCAGCGTATTTAAACTTGTGCTATCAAGTCTGTCTCCCAAATTTCATTCAGTTTATTGTACTTTTTCGGGATTAAGTTCGAATACTTTTCATCTTTCACTTTTTGCTTATTTCTTTCCTTGTCATAATAAAAGTCGAGCAACGGATTGAAAGGCTTTTTTCTACGGCTTTTTGCGCCATGTCGATACTACCAATGTGATTTGTTATAAGCTATTTTCTCTTATTGCTCGCCATTTTGTGGAGACTTTGGAATCTTATCGTGTGTGCGCGCACTCAAGGTTCTAAATGGGTCATTGAAAAGTGATTAGGGATCTTTCGATGTTCAAAAGGGGCTTTTTCCAAAATAGCC